AAAGCGATGGCCTCCAACCTAAAAGCGATGGCCTCCAACCTAAAAGCCATGGCCTCCAACCCAAAAGCGATGGCCTCCAACCCAAAAGCGATGGCCTCCAACCTAAAAGCAATGGCCTCCAACCCAAAAGCGATGGCCTCCACCCAAAAAAAAGTGATGGCCTCCAACCCAAAAGTGGAGCCTCCAATCTAAAAGCGATGGCCTCCAACCTAATCCAAGGCACATAAATCCTATGATTGAAGGCGACCATGGCAGCGTAGTATCGAGGGGTCTGCATGGGTGGGAGACTTTCCCATCGATGGGTCAAAGGATCGAAGCCTGGGCCAGTCAAAGTCATATCGATCAATTGGGAACATGAGTTCAATCCATCTGTGGATCGACACCAAACCCACTGAACTGAGGAGGGATGAATCAATCAAGTATGGCGCATGTACAACCCCGTAATGTTGACCATACCTTTGCAGGAGGTTTGATCTGCTCCTGTGGACGCATTGACCAAGTGAGGCTCTCTGAAGTAGCAACCATAATGAGAGTGGGACTCGCCTCTGGCGATCAAAACATGTTTGGTGTTTGGACTATAGATATAAATATGATATATACAGTTTGTGTATACATGTTATACATATCAATCAGTTATCAGAATCAAGGGGCAAAACTTGACACATAGTCATTGGAACATTAGTGGATAGCAAAATGAAGCAAAATGTAATGGGGAGAGTTGTAATTCTAATAGGGCCTAGGGCCTAGGGGCAACATGCTTGAGATCGGGTTCTCTCAGGAGTGGAGCAAGGTCTTCGAACCGTGCTATGGTTGCATGGTTTGATCAAATAGAAACAACTGAATCCCAGAAAGAGGTCTATGGGCAAATCAGCAGTCGGTCGAACCAAGAGCATCTCCAAACATCTTTTGTAGTCCGCGGGCATCTTTTGCATGATTGCATGTGGTTTCTTTGTTCATTTTGTTCAGTTGCTACTAAAATTTACAGCCCTGCTTTCTGTCCTCCAGTGTAGTTCACAGCAACCCGTTTATGCCCAAGATGCGCTCCATGCTATCCACCTCGTGCCCACCTCTGACCTTAAATACTCGTTGAAACTCAAGAAAGTCACGACATGACAAGTTATGTTTGAGTCTCATCTAACAAATCCTCCAATACGGAACAGTCAGCAGGAGAAAGACACAAAAAAAAACAGCGACGTGCAGGGCTTGCCGCTTGGATCTTGCTGGCAGCCGGCCTTTCCACAGACAAAAAACTTGATCCAAGGAGCGTAGAGGCATCCTTCCAGGACACATGCCACGATGTTGGGCTCGCCATTTGCGTCTCCACCACGTGGCTCTGACATGGGAGGCAGCGTCTCCCAGGAGCCCCCCCTTGGTCACCCACAAAAAATCAAACGCAAAGCCAAAGACTCCACGGTTCTGAAGACGCAAAGTTCAGCAGAGCGTTCCCCAGACCACCACATGCTCTGCAAGCAAGGTGCTGGCTTAAGCCGTTCGGCTGTGTCAAGGGCCATGAAGTCATCTAGGCTTGACGTTCCTGTCTCCCCGCCACAGACCTTGAACTCAATGACGATGGATCTCATCTCACCGCATCGTCTTTGCCATCTCTACGTATATATATATATTATATATATATAATTATATTATATATATATATTAAATATATAGTTACATTGAAACACCTGTCGCTTCACTGTTGCTGGTTGGAATTTCATTTCTCCAACATTGCCGAGATACATAGAGTTTTCCCTGGAGGACTGCTGCTGCTGCACAAGCGCGAGGCGTTCCCATAGGAGCCAGCGCTTCCCACCCAAAACTCAGCCTGGTGGCACAAAATGAAAGCTTCAAATGAAGGCTTCAAAATAGGATGCCAGAGGCGAAGGCTTCAAAACAGAGAGTCCTGGCATGTCCAGCCTGCAGTCTATTTGAGACGAGGCTCGGATCGAAGCAATCGACGGCACTGAGATAGTCCTCGTCATTGCCTCGAACCCAACCGAGCCAAGAGCATCGTCGGCTAGCCAATCGGCTTCGGCTTCAACAAAGTCTGGGCCACTCACTACTACCCCCGCAGACATAGATTCGGCCCTGGAGCAAGGGGAGCCACATCGAGTTTACAATCCCGTTCCAAAGGCCTCCAAGCATGAGATGGCAGGCCAGTTGTTGCAGAAGCTTCGCGAAGTGGGAAGCGGTGGCCTCGACAATACATGAGCAAACCTCTGAAGGCGAAGTTTCGGCACTCGTCCGCTACTTCGCTGGAAAGGAGCAAACATTGGCGCTAATAGTGGTGACTCGGAGTCCGAGCAGGGTGGTCCACCTGGACTTCAGTGCATCAAAGCGATGTATGCACATCCTTGGCAAGAAAAGAAATGCTGACAAGATTCCTCTGTTGACTTGGAAAAACCCAATAATTGCTGTAAAACAAACTCTGTTGAATCCAGGTGTCGTGTCGTTGTTCTGCTGGGCACCACAAACGTATAAGAAGCCTGGGGATCAGTTGCCCCGCAATGGTCTTCTCCCATGTCTTGAGACAATTGACGATGTTGCACTTGTGCAAAGTTGTTGAACCAAAGACATCTGCACACGTTCCTCCACCCTATTGCCGAGGAACCATCCACTCCCAAAAGGGTTGGCCTGAAAAGCTCTTGTCTTGAATCGAAAAGCAGAGCTCTGCACGGATCCTCGAGGCACGTCTAAGATCCACACACACAAAAGGTTCGAGATCCAAGCGATAGAGAAGCTGGTACATCGAGTACACTTCTCCAGCAATGTCGCGTCGGATCGAAGTGCCTAGGAATTTTCAGATCTGTCAGAATCTACCAGATCAAATCGCAAACAACTTCGAACCGAACTCTTTCGAATCCATGTTTTCAGGCTTCGACGTACTGACTATATAGAGAATTCATGATAATTTGCACGCTAAGCCAAATGGGAGCATATGGGCACAGGATGACAAAGGTCTCTGGATATAGTGCCAAAGATACGAAATCGTTTCGAGATGCAGGTCTTGATGCTGGCACCCCGACACAAATAGTGCACGAGCATCAGGATGGCCTCCACATTCTAGTCTGATACAAGGCAAATGAGTGTTTGGAGGGAACAAATACCCGTCCGACTGTAGCCAAGGGTTTAGACACAAAAGCTTGAGCCTGTAGAGAATTGGTGGCTTTGTAAAAGAAACTGAAAAGCCGTCCGTAATTCAACCAAGCTTCTGAAAACTGCATTTTTACCAACTGCTCTGGTGCCCCTGGACAGCTCTCTGAGCCGACTTGCGTCTGCCAAGCAAAGGAAGGACCTTATCTGTGTGGCATGGGGCGTCAGACCCTTCAACATCAGCTCAAGGTATTGCAGTGCAGCCAAAGTGCGCTGTCATGGTCGCCAATTCAGAGATTCGAAAAATGTCCGCCCTTAGTGCAACTACTCAGGCGAACTGAAGAGGTTCAAATACAAAAAGGACCTAAGGACCCAGGACCTGTAAGAAACCCAAACAAGAAGCAAAAGAAAACAACCAAAGAAGCGATTCTCAGGGTAGATATTATGACAGTATTTATCTATGCAAACGAACCAGCACAACTGGAAAATCAAATGTTGTTATTTATAGTAAAAAAATAACAATAAACGATCTGAGGTGCAATTTTGCGCTCGGTGCACTTCCAGGATGCGCCTTTCGCACCGCCTCAAAGCGGCGGCGGTGCAGCGCGGCCAGGAAGGTGTCGCGCCTGCCAAGAGCTGAGGAGCCGAAGGCGACCCGAAGGCGTTCTGGACCGAACCATGATCTATCGACAAGAGTACAGATTAGCAAATGTTCTACGATGTGTTTGTCTCGCTATGTTGGTAGGGTCAATGAAAGCCATGATTCCCGCTTCCGTGGAAAAAAGTCTCTGAGTAATGAGATTCTCAAGTGAACAATTCCTGCCTCAGCACACCGGACCTGCACTGTCCAGCTCAAAGATCTTCTCTTTTTTAGCCCCCGGGCCCTGCCTCCCTACTTAATTAAGTAGGCACCGACTTAGTTAAGTAAGGAGGTAAGCTACTAGGACGCAGGATAGCTCATGCTGCTTCAAGGAAGCTCCCCCCGCCTGAGGGTGGGAGGCAGCTTCCTTGAAGAAGCGCTCGCACTATTCATTTGGTTCCTAGATTTTGTGGGAAAATATGTTTTGGGAAACTTAACTACATGTGAAGCGTTGAAGGAGCTTGACTTCGCCTGAACAAACAATCGCAAAGTGTGGCAAACTCGTCAGGTCCCTGAAGCATCTCGATATCCATGGCTCGAGGGGAGGATAGGTTCTTCATGGAAACTACAGTCAAGGAGGAAAACAAGTTCAAATAAACTTGGACATGTTCATCAAATTCAGTTCTTTCCTTTGAGGCTCTGACAAATGGCTGCCCCTGTGCGCGTCAGGGCTGAGCTGAGTCAATGCAGTATCAAGCGTAGCCTGTGGTCCGACCAGACATTGATGAATAACCCGGAACCCTAATTATAGATTTTGTCAGATTCATGTCCATCCCTAGTAGTGTAAGCCTCCAACAGTGATTTTGACCATCCCCTCTGCTTTGGGCCCTTTGCATCGCGTCGCTTTGCGTCACGTTTTGCTTCTTGGCTTTGCCCCTCAGGCCGTTTTGGATGAAGCGCAGCCCAGAACATATTTGACGAACTTCCTGAAGGGGCCAGGCCCTCCAGCCCCTCCAGGCCCCCCAGGCGCTGCAGGGTCAGGCTCTTCAGGGGGAGCGAAGGGATCCGGATGTGGAGCACCTGGCAAATCAGCGTCGTCACTCGTCTTCACCTCCTGCAGCAGTGACAGGCCAAAGGGGATTCTAGATTACAACATATTGCAACAAATCTGGAAAGCAACATGCAACAAATATTGAGTTTTGAATTCAAGTTGAAGAAGCTAAATGACTCACGGGCACACCTGTGTCTTGGAAGAGGTTTATATACTTGTCAAACCCATGGGTTACAGTCACATGGGAATCCATTGGAAGAGCTCTATACTATATACTTCCAAACACCAGACAGGAACAGAAGAACTTGCAGTCAGGCCAATCCTTGAAAGACTTCAATAGACTTATCCACTTCAAGCCAGCTTTACCCTCGTTGCACGCACCAGCTTCAAACGGAAGCTGTAGCCGGATTTCATCCATGGACTCTTGCATTTCGCCTATCAAGTCAGCGTGAGGATCAGACTGAAATCGGATGCCTTTGCGCTGATAATCTAACACTTTGAGTACAATTTGTTTCTCTTCGCCCGCAGTTGCTTTGCCAGAGTACTCGTGAGCATATCTCTCTCCCATTTGATAGGGGTCACTATCAGTGAACCGGACAAGGGAGGTGATCTCAGACTCGTGGATGCTGAGACTGAACGCACCATCTTGATGAAAGGAGACCTGAACTCTCGCTGTTGTGTTCGACCCAGCAGGGGCATTGTCTCTGCGGGAAACAAAGTTGTAGGTTCCTGATGGGAAAGAAGAAATCACCAGAGTCAAGTGAGCTCCATCTTCTATGCCATGATCCTTCAACACCCAGTCATCGTGCAAGATGTCCAATCCGTGGAGAAGCTTCATTCCCGAACACTGTACCGCTTCAGACTGCCCTCCTTCCACCATTTGATCATAAAGTCGTGCTTTCAGAGTGAGGGTTGTGTCACTCCCATCGAACTTCACATCAAACTGCTGTCCGTTGGCTCTGGCCACACAAAGCTTCCCTTCAACTTGCTTGGCCATGGCTGGGAGCACTGGAGGAAGTTGCAAATCAACTCCTGAACTCAAAATCAGACTGCGTGGAAAAACCATCCAAAGCACTTGAAACGGCCAAAGCGATAGAATGGCAACCGATGCAACTATGGAGCAGCAAACTTTTCTCAGAGGGCTCGGCATCTTCACGAGGTGCTCCGCCACGGTGGGCATCTTCTGGCCCTGGTGGCGCAGCTCCTCAGGTCCTTCTGTAGGCTCAGTGCTTCACAAACGTTGGGAGAGCTTGATGAGCTAGGTCAGCTAGGTGGACTGTCCAGTTGAACTGGGAACTGCAGTATGTGCAAGTGCTGGAGACAGCATACAGGAGACTGGTATCACTGTCTTTGCTGTCTTATAGGTTGCTCTAGGTCAGAAGATCACTGTTGCCACCCCCCTTCAGCACGGAAAGAACTTGCCAAAATCACATGCCCTGCCTTTCGGCTGTTGGCGGGGCTGGCGGACCTAGCTTCCTGGCAAGCGTTGGAACTGAAGTGAAGTGAACACCGTCGGGAGCCTGGCAAGAAGGCTCTACAAGGGAAGCATACCAAGCCATCCGTTTGAGATCTTTGAAATCCTTCGACTATGACCATGAGTACATTCCAAAGACCGAGTCACAGTAGTGACATGTAAGATCAGATCAAACTCGAAGCCGATTATATATAATTACAGGACTTGGCACAAATCAAACGGAAACAAAACTGATCCAATGAGAAGCACAAGACGTGAGTCCTGGCCACTTGGTCTTCTCTTGTGTCCACCATCCTCACTAGGCCTCCTCTTTTGTCCACCGTCCTGCGTCGTTGCGTGGCCAGCATTCAAGCTGCGATCCATGTAAGCATGGAAATCATACGGCGGAAACACGTTGTGGATTGTTCGAGTTGCATGAGCCCTGGTCGGTCCCTGCTGCCAGATCGATTTCGAACATCCCTGCTGCCAGATCGATTGCGAGCCTTCAGTCACAGACTCACTGACAAGACTTCTGACATTTTCCTGCTTCTGACCAGAGGCCAATACCTGCGTGTGTGAGACTGCTTCCTTCTTCTTGCTGGAGGACCTTCCATCTGCGTCCTTTGTTGCGAGATAATGTCTGTGACATTATCTTTTGTTCAATGTGTTGGGAACACAAGTGGTTGAGGGTGAATGGAAGATGTGCAGGTTGAATATATACAGTAAGTACTACTGCATCATAACTCCACAATAGGATAGCTTTTGACCTTCAGCTGAAACATTTGATTGTTGTTGCTAGAAAAGCATTTTCTGCGTAAAATACCAGACGGATGAAAGTGGTATCAAGTAAGGGAAAAGCTGCTAAATTCCGTGGCATATACACCAGATTGCACCTTGGATAAGAGAACGCGGGAACCGCAAACCTCGGTGTTCGGTTAGCCTCCTATAACTGCGAACCGGATCCAACTGAAAAAGAAGCAGGGTGAAACGGCCAGCAAGGTGAAGTGATGGGATCAATGAGAACGGCCCTGAAACAGCTCAATGCCAATAGAAGGTGCGATCAGACCTGGTCTAAGAGAAAAGTAAGAGTACGCACACCGAGAAGACATTCCATGAATCAGCTCATGTTGACCAGGACTCTGTGACAACAGTCAGCGAGGCCCTCGTCTTGTGGAACTTCTTTTCTTCAGCCGCCTCAGCACAGTTTAGATCTCTGCCGTCGTTTGAGTAGTTCAGAATCTGCTGCAGAAGACTCTGCCTGGGCCTGTTTCTCTGATGATTGCTTCCACTCCTGGCGTTGACTCACACTGCTTTGAGTTCACTTACTGAAAAAGAATTGGTTGACTGTCGGATCAAACACTAAGGCGAGACCCCGAGCACGCTGTCGACCTGTGCTGTGATGTCAAGTGATAGTTTTTTGTTAGGTGAAGACATGTCTCCTCGTCAAGCACAACTTCATGTCGTTTCGTGAGGTGGTTTGTTTGACCACCAATGGTGCCATAGCAGTCTAAATCCTCTACAACTCTCACAATGCTCCCTGTTAAAGGACGGCTGCTTGTGCGTTTTGTTGTTTTTGTTTTTTATTTTGATTTATTTTTGGGTTTTACTAGGTTGCTCCCATGGGGTTTTGGGAAGGTTGCCAGCAGTGTAGTCCCCCGGTGTCTCTGAGGAGGGCGCAGTTTTTCTGTGGTGGCGAGCTTAGCTTTATTTCGGTAGTGTTTTTGCTATGCTTTTTGGGTTAGGGAGGGGGTTGGAGGGGAGGGCGCAGCGCCTCCCCCAAGAACAAACCAAATCAGCCCACCAAAAAGCTACAAACTGCCAACACAAAAAAAATGTGATCAGGATCAAGCCATCAAAATCCAACAAACTCCACGAGAACCAAAAGCAAGCCATCAAAAACCAAAGCCAGACAAACCACCCAATTTCAAATCCGCCAAAAAGCTACCAAAAGCCAACAGAAGAAGCTATCAAACCTTGCCATGAGAGAACCACCAAAGGCAAGCAATCAAAAACCAAACGAACACAAAGCCACGCAAGCCACCAAAAGCCAAAAGCCGCAGAAGCCGCCGAAGTCAAAAGCCACAGAAACCGCCACTAATAGCGAAATAGCGATGGCCTCCAACCTACTAGCAATGGCCTCCAACCTAATAGCGATGGCCTCCAATGACCTAACTTTATGTGTATGCACCCTGCAACTCCAACGCATTGCCCAAGAATGATGCGGCTTCATGCAGCCCCATGCCGTTTTTGTACATGATCACCCATGAATGAGCAACACAAGGCCATGGCTAGCTCTACTGAGCTGCAGTCGAAGAGCTTTGTCACTGATCAGGGCCTTCTTCCATCGCTGGGATGCCTCGATAATAGCTGCCGCTGTTGTTAGCTGGACTGTCTGCAAAGAAACAAATCCCTGTGGCCTTGCTTGAGTGTCGTCTCTCCCTCAGTCAATTTGCAGCTCTTTCAAGCTCTTCTGATCGGATGTTCATAGCATCGCTTTTTGCAAAACTTTTCATGCTCAGGCGTGCTCAATTTGTCTTCCGGCTGGGGGTGCACATCCTTTTGCTCTTTCATCTGCGCGGGCAAAGTGGGCGATCTCACTAAATACAATGTTGTTGTTGTTGTTGTCGGTGCCAATGTTCGAGTGCCGACAAAAGCGCATTTTTGTCAACACCCCAGAAGGCCACGGCTTCCAGGCCAAGGTCGTTTGAAGACCATCACTGTGCTCTGAAGCCAGGGCCTCACAAAAGCGTTTGGAGAGCCACAACTTCGAAGTTCTCACTCTCCAAGACTCCCCACAACGTCGCTGCCGCTCGAAGCTCCGCAGTCTTCTCTGGCAAGCCTCAAGACAAGTGGACCGTTTAAGATGCCCAGTCCAACGAAAACATGATTACGTAGGATTTTATGTTTTTTGCCCGTTGCCCTCATCCTTACCTTAATTCAGTAGACACCCACTTGATTAAGTAAGGGCTATGTAAGCTACTGCCTACTGGATGCAGGAAAGCTCACACTTCTGTTCATGTGGTTCCTAGATAAGTTAGGGCAGTACAGTATGGCGGGTTAGAGAAGATATGTCCGGGGTCTAGGATGTATTGGCTGCCTTTTCTCATCAAATCAAAAGCACGAAACCGTTCCTCCGTCTCCTCGGCTCCTGGCTGAGAAAACCATGCTCTCGCATCAGTTCTTCCACCTCCGACTCCGAGAGCATCAGCGAACATTGATTTAGTGAGGATATTAAATGCAAAGCAGCGAAGGCGTAGTGTCTCCAGGTGGTGCTTATGATGCTGTATGTAGTGAATTGAACTTTTGACATCTCAGAGTCTGTTTTCAACAACAGTCTTATTCTGGAGCACGTCAATTCAGCGCTCAATCCTAATTAGATGTTTAAACGTTGGCATTCCGAAACAATTTGACACGCTCAGATTGTATTGCGCATGAATACAGTTGCACTCGGTAAACATATGGCTACACCAAAACAATACCATGTGTTTTGTTGACAGATGAGTTCAGAGAAAAGAAAGACACAAAGTCCATGTGTTGCAAACTTGAGGTGTCAATGGAATGATGTGTCCTATTTTTCATCTGAAAGTGAGGAGGCACTGTCCCTATTCATTTGTGATATACTAACTACTTAAACAGAGATCTTGAGGACGAATTATTGTGCGGGCTCATCATTTTCGGAGTTGAGAGAGAATGTACAGAGGATAGATTCAATTTGTATGAGGTTCGTGGTACGAGTGCTTGGTGAAATGCATGCAAGACAGAAGGGTCATAATTGCAAGACAGAAAGAAGCCAAACCTTTACAAAATGAACCTGCTGTGAATGGTTTATTGTAAAAATGGAAAGAATGAAGGGAACCTGGGCACCAGCTGGATGATTCAGCCACCTTCTGGAAGCATCGTGAATCTAAATCTAAAGTAACTTGTGGGTCTGCACCATGTTGGGAGGAAGAGTTTTGCTGCGCCGTGCCAGCGCCTCTTCTGAGGTTCGAAGATTCACATGCCCTTCCCCTGCCTGGCAGGTCCCACCCCTAGTAGCGTCCGTTACTAGTAGCTTCTTGTTCCTAGTAGTATGGCCAGGAGCCCCTAGTAGCGTCCTTGCTCCTAGTAGCGATGCCCTTTGTTACTAGTAGCCTTTCTAATTCTACGAAAACATGCAAGGACCACTTGATTTCCCCAGGAAAGCACCATGCCAGAGCAGGTGTGCCTCCCATCAGCTCATCATTTTTTGTTGATGATCCCCTCTAGCCCCTAAACATGCTAAACTGTTTCAGCAAAAGTCTGCTTCAGAAGCACCATTCAGCCATTTGGTCTCCTGTCCAAGTTCTTCAGGAAGGAATTCTCGAACTCTCGAGGGATGTGTTCTGCCACTTCCAAAGAAAGAACCTCGGTGGAGCAAGTCTTGCGGCTCTTTTTTTAGCTTCCAAAGATCTCTCGAAGCTCGGCTGCAGGCCCAGTCCCAGCGAGTGCCCAAATCAAGGTCTCGACTTAAGTCAGCCTGCCCAGCAAAGAGGCTTGCTATGTAACCCGATGCCACTTCGAGACAGAGAATTTTTTCTGAAGTACAATTTAATTGACAATAGACTCTTTAAAATAGACCAGCTATTACATAAGTTGGAGGCCATTGCTTCTAGGATCTTCTAAGTGGGAGGCTATCGCTAGGAGGTTGGAGGCCATCGCTAGGAGGTTGGAGGCCTTCGCTTCTAGGTTGGAGGCCATGAAAATAGCAGAAATATGGACCATGACTGAAAATTTCAACACAGTCCCGTCCTGGAGACATCGGCCTTCAGTGATCTCCCATGTGGCCGGGTTTCCATCGAAGCCACCCGAGCGGAGGCCCGCGGATCGAAGGTCACGAACCTCACAAAGCAAAGAAATTGCGCAAAGAATGACACTTTCTTGAAATGCATGGTGTAAAACTGTGTGTGGTGTAAAACTCAATTCTATCTTGGCATCTCGGCATACAGTCCCAAGCCGCATCCAAAGTCGCCAACACTGGCAGCCTGGAGATGGTACCGGAATGTATCAATTGCAAAAACCGTCCAAAAAAGGATTCTCCCTGACATGATTGTTTCCTGTCACAAGTGACCAAGGTCGCCTCAACCGTCTTGAAGAAAGTGATTAAGGCGTCTGCCAATGGCCTTGACAGAGTTGGACACGTCGTCGTGTCACGTCTCTGTCGGCGACCTTCGTCTCTGCATGGTTTCAACACGTTTCAATTCAGGCCTATCATGCATGTGATAGCCCGCTGCCTCTGTGCCAACCCACCTTTGCGTTTGCCGACAATCCTTCTCATCCAAATGAAAGTCACGAAGGTTGTCCCATGCAAACAGGCATCATAGGCCACGACGCTCCGCTGGGTGCAATGGCAAGATCATGGGAAGCCTTGCAGTTCGGCGGGTGCTTCTGGTTTCAATCTCATTCTAGGCCTTTCGCCCGGTCTCTGCCATTGTGTTTCTACTTTTCCAAGAGCCCTGCCAAGGCCAGCTCTTCATCCGCCTCCGCCCGGCGACCAAGACCTGCAGCAAGTCAGGGCAATGTCACAAGAATGCACGCAAAACATTCGACAACTCAAGAGTAGATCAAGATGGCCAAGTAAATGGCCAAGATAGATATCATATCAAACCAAATCAAAATGAAATAATAAGATCAGAGGGGCTTGCAAAATGACTCTCACTTTTTTTTGACTCTCAGTTTTCTTGTTTCTGACGCTAATGATATTGATACTAAAGAAGAGGGGGAGGAACAAGATGAAGATGCTCTCAGTTTTCCTATTCACCTTTGATTTGGATGCCAAAGCAGAAGGGGAGGAAGAATAAGATTTCTTAACTTATGACTCATAATATTATTAAACAGTTGAGTCTGAACTTGAGGACACATTAAAAAATTTAAGTGAATCTTGTGGACCGTCAAGTCTGAATGGCATCATGTATGTATAAGCGAGTCTCTCTTGGAGAATATGCTTTGGACAGATAATCTAAATTTGAAGGTAATAAGTGATTCATGTAACTGACTATTTTGAACGGTTGAGTCTGAATGCTGCATTATGAATTAAAAGATGGTCTAGGGCGGGGGGAGGGGGGGTAAGGTGCCCAACACCCCAAAACACAACATCCAAGAACAACTGAAGTGTCCTTATAATATGTCAGGATGTCTAGAATCACTCTAGGGTTGGTAACATGTATTATTACTAAATGTCACATATCACATCTCTGCAAAGAAAAAGCGTCCGATACTTGAGTTTATCAAGTATTTGGATGTGACCTGCAGGTTGTCCTCCAAAACCTTGCAGTATAATCGGAGGTTTTACATAAAAGGTGTTGGGGGGTTGAACCTGCTGAACCTGCGGGGCGGAGCCTTGGAAGATCCTGGATCTGCTGGTGGGAAGGTGGGAGGATGGGAGGGTGGTCCAAATTCGTGCCATCAACTTCAAGCTCAACGCTTGGGCCGTACATCTGGCATGTTTGGATGTTGCAGAGCACTTCAATGACCTATCACTTACCGTAGCTTTTCTCATTGCCGTTGCCAGCCAGGTTGGGTTCTACCCTCAGAGTGACAGTTGCATCTTCACATCAACTCATGACTCAATCCTTTATTCTAGTCAGACTGACACTCAGATTCGGTTTCTCTTCCTGTTCAGATTCACAGTCACTCCTTGTCACATTCATATTCAAATTCCGGATTCAGCGTAGGATTCTTGATGGAGCTCATTTCCAAGGAACGGACGCTTGTCTTTTCACACTTCAATATCTTCGAAGTGCACCCGGCGCGTTTGGAAGTTCTGAAGTTTATGATATGAGCGAATGCACCTGGATTTGTGATTGGCTTACTATATCTGCAGCGGTCTTAGCTCTTTCAATCAGCCATAAGACCTTCACCATCCATCACCACTTCTGAGCAATGGTGCGCCGTTCCACCACTTCTGAGCGGTATGAGCACAAGTGGAAGACACATGTTGCAGGCGGCTACAAGTGCCTCAGTTCAAATTTTGAGCAGCGCGTGTTTCCAGGCCCGATGGCCATGCCAAAACCGCTCAGGCCCCAACATTTGAGATGGGAGGGGGACGAAGTGACGGAAATCTGGACGAGGGACTTTGAGAACAAGGGCCAGCAGATCCAGGGCCTGAAGATCCAGCCGAAGGTTGAAATAAAAAAGATGCCGGTGGAACCGGAGGGGAAGAAGGCCATGAAGGCCATGCCATGAAGGCGATGAAGGCCATGAAGGAGACGAACGCAATGAAGGCGAAGAAGACAATGAAGGCCAAGACGGCCAAGAAGTAGATACGGCCAAGAAGGTGCGAAAAAGGTGTCAGACAACCATCTGCCGAGCCAACTTGAATGAAATTGAGTATCCATCTAGACCCAATCAATGTCGAATTCAAAGTTTTCATCCGCCAAGCTTATCGTGTTTTGCAAGCGTGACAGGTGCTGGTGCAGACAGAAGGCAAGGCAGACAAGTGTCAAAAATGGGTTCTTGATCCATTGGGAATCCGAGTTTGACAAATGATACACACATGTCCCACGTGGTTTGAATCTGAAACAATGCGCAAATGTCATGTGACAGTGTGTCCATTG